ACATCCTTACCCTTTATTCACAACAAGAATATTATTACAACTATCTGCAACACCCTTCAAAGAAGAGAAGCATAACAGAAGCAAAGTAGGAATAGAATTGTTATTCAAGGAAAGTAGGATTTCTGATGAGAAAACATCAAAATTACCTGGATAAACCTGAATAAGACTAAGACTTTATCAAGCATACCCTCTAACTCCTCTTCAGAAGTACCCTTGTTACCAGCACGAAGTTTTTCATCCAGAAACTTTGCAATCAACTCTGCAGGACGGTTCTATTAAAGAGAGCAGAAAGTTGAAAAGTCAGCAAAGTTTGAAGAAACAAGAACATACACGATAAATACACTAGTCTCCACCCCAATATGCCTAGGGTTTGGATAACCTTTTAGAGTAAGCCACTTTACATTTTAACCTCTTAAATTGACAACAATTTGGTTCTTTTTGGCATGGGGAGGGTAGCTAATAGATTCCTAAATTAAAAAACTCCTTTGGTATGGAAAAATACAGTTCTAAAGAACAATTCTCAACTCCCTTTACCATACCTAGTTAGTTTGCAGAAACATCAAATACAGAGATTTTTAAAGCAGAGTAGCATAGGTTCTTCAGATGTCTGATTTTTTTTCCTGATGCATGAAAATGGGGTTTTAATTCCCTTTTTGAGTTCTCTCTCTCTCTCTCTCTCTCTCTCTGGGTGGGGGGAGGGGGCAGGGAGAGTGCACAGAGAGATGCTAACCTGACGAAGATTTATTAGATACTCAAATGCATCCTTAATGGTGTTGGAAAATGCTTCATTCTTTGAAAAGCTTTCTTCCCATATTGAATCAAGGGAAGCCTTGAACTCTAACAAGGAAGGAACCATATCTTTATCTTTTTCATCGTCCATGACAATGCCCTGTCCAGTTCTCCGAATATATGAGCTGAGAGCGTGCCTTAGTGATTCAAGGGCATTGACCCTGGAAAATAGAGAGTACATTCGCTGAAGGTCCTCAATACGATGTCCATCCATCAGTGTTGTAAACCCCTACAGAAACCAGGGAAGCTATTACTATTTAAAAAGCAGATCCAAGCACATAAACTCAGATGTAGAATGACAGAAGAGTTTCATATTTGAACCTTATCAAGAATTGCAGGTATATGGCGTTCAAGAAGTTGTTTTTCTGCCATTGCTATCAGCGGCTTTCTTGTACTTGCGTCCAGGTAGAGTAGGCATCTTTCATGTTCTTCATGCAATCTCATCTGCAAAAAAATGTTGCCAAAATGTTTTGCCAACATAAGCATATCCCATGCAAACAGAAAAAGTGGAATACTCTGCTGATGGAAAATTGAAACAGGAAGACTTATAAGCACCTCAACATGTTTAAGGTAATCTGGAACATCATATTGCTGCATGAATTTCATCCCTTCAGCAGCATAAAACTCAGATGTGCACCCGAGGAAAGGCTTCTCAAAGCTATCTGAGTAAATTCCTAAAGCAGTAAACATCTTCAAAAGATGGTTAAGGAGAGTCCTGTCAACTGCTTCACCTACTCTGCACGACGAGAAACAAAAAAAAGTTAATTCCTAGATGCTTATAAGGTTACAAGTTTAATATGAAAGATCTAGCCATCTTTCATGAATCATGCATGAAAGTAGTGAAATTCAGTTTATAGATGACTGCTTAAGAAGGAAGAAAAAGAGTCATGAAATTCAGTTATATATGACTATAAATGCAAAAGCAACATCACCCTGATAGATTCCCAGCAATGACCATGGACCCAGATGGATGAGTTGATCAGACAACATATCTACCTAGAAACACTTCTTTCCAGAATAACAACACTAATACACCACAACACATTAAAACCAAGTAAGAGCAGCTAGCCCAACAAGGAAAAATGATGCTGGTACAAGATTTTTACGGGACGATTCCATCCACCATGTTCAACATTCTCCTGTTGGCATCTCCTGCACATTATCTCCCCATTTCTAATTGCTTGATTAGAAGTTCTCTAATAGCAAATTTGATACGAGGACCATCAAACATTGAAGTCCCTTAGTAGCATTAGATTCATGAATGATGCTCTTTTACTATGCATGAAGCAATTTAACAGACACAATAACTAATTAAATGTAAGCTTGTTTTTATCATTATATTTAACTTTATCTTTTAACCCTAAAAGATAGAGAGACATCAAGAAAATACCCAAGGTTGTGGTCAAGTTTTCAGTACATCAAAAAGAGGACCACATATTCCACAAGTTTTACAACACTCAATAGTACATCATTGTTAAGGATGTCAATGGAAACAAATTCCAACCCAAAAACCATCACTTGGACAAGTCATTCAAGCTCCACAATATTAACACCATAAGGATTATCATCTCCAAACAAGAGGCTAAGGCTTTGACTGAGAAATATGAGCAGAAATTTGCTAGGAATATGGCTTTGAATTTAATTTTGCATGCCCAGCTATTAAAACTTAACTTTTCTTAGCTAACTAGTCATCATGTTTTTTTTCTTTAATAACATGGGTATTAGGGCCTTTGGCCCGACTAATCCCACATGTACCTGTATACCACCTTGTCAATACTACAGGTACCGGGTAAGCCTACACCTTCAAGGATAGTTCCATGGCAGGTATGGCTCATTGAAATTGTTTGCACCTAAGTGGGGTTTGAGGGAAGGGATTCAAACCTGAATTGTCAATAAGGTTCAAATAACTCCTTAAACACTAGAGCCAACCACAATGGCTGTTAAAATTTCACTTCTAGATCATTAAATTAGAAACAAGAGATCTAAAATTTATGAAATCTAGCTAGCAGATAAACTGACTGGAGAAGAATTCTCAACTATTTTGGGGACATCAAGAAATGATTTTGAATCAGAAGCAGCAGTTTCCTAAAGATCTACCTAAAATACAACATTCCTTAAATGCATATCTTTGATACTAGAGTCCTAATGTATATTAAGATTTGGGAGAAACAACCAATTAATAAGTACCAAATGCATTACTTATCACAATATTAAGACTTTGTTCTATGTGATGAAATTCTAGGAGAGGATGATAGGTAAGAATTTTAAAGTTCAGATAAAATAAATTCTAGAATTAAAATAATCTAACTTGAATTAAATGAAACTTATTAGAATTACCTCTCCCTCTCAATCATTCTTAAAAGGCCAGTGACAGTTTTATGCTCAACCTCAGCAGACAATGCTAGATGTCTCCGGAAAAGCTGCAAGCCCATGTCCCACAATGAACGCACATTTGGTGTTTGTTTTACATACGTTCTATCTAGATACAATGCTATACCACGAATCATCAACATCTGGTCACAAAGGTCTTGCCAACATCTCTCAACAAGCGATAAGAAAACCACCAGATCTGGGCTTTGCCCAACCAGAGACCGTAGTGCCACAGATATATGTGCTTCAGATTCTTTTTCAATTCGTTGATAAAGGCTTCCTCCCATCTTGTGCAAACAAAGATCATTGACAGCCTAAAGAAAAGTGTTTATTTATCAAAAGAGTGGTAATTATTCACATTCAAAAAGACCTAATTCCAAAAAGAAAAGCAACAAAATACAATACAATTTACCTGATAAAGTTTCTCCAAGTCACATGAATCTGGTTGCCTCAAAAATATAGCAGTAATAGCTGATTTCAGCTTTGCCCATGTATCTTCTTCAAAATTAGTAGGCAGTGTTGGTTTGGCTTTAAATAACAAAACAAAAATTAGTACCTTTCTGAGCATGTACTGTGCACCATAATTTGTTAGATTTTGTATTTCCGTTTCAGCAATGCTTCTCTAGTTGTCTACTGCTAATTGGCATATTCAGTATATTTTGGGTGCTAAATGAGATTGGATTTAAAATGAAAACATGTTGAATTTAACCTATTGCCTATTCCTGGTAATTAATATAAAATTTACAAAACATTTCAAATGTTAACTATTTGAAGAGCCATAGGATGATGAAGTGCCTCACTACCATCATTTATGCATTACATTGATGCACATCATAACTTACTACTTATACCAATATGGCATATAAGGAGGTACAAAGTGAAGCCAAATATCTCCTTTCCAGAAACTGTTTAACAATGAAAACTATTAAACATGGTAGGCAAAACTATCAATAAAGGGAACATAAAAAATTCGAAAAAGGAATAAACTGTTAAGGCTAGACATTTAAGGTGCAAAGTTGTAGTCGCAGATTCCCAGAGCAACTCAATGGTAATGATCTGAAAGGTCATCTATTGAATCGAAATGAACAACGCAATTAACACCGAATCATGAGTAGGATCAATTTATCATCATAAACTAGAGCCCTGACTTATAACATAAGACAAAGACTAACTTAGTTGAAGGTTATAGCATTGACCTCATGTAGGAAAAAGTGACACAATTGAATCCATTAACATCTACTACATACTTTTGATAAAGCTACAATAGAAGTAACTGGAAGTGCACGGCTATCAATATAAATTCTTCAAATAGCAATTCCTTGTGCTGAAATTAAGAAGTTTCTAAGTTTCATATGAAAAAAGTGCATAACTTGCATAATATTGGACGAGCCTATGTTCATTTAATTAGCTCAATCCCCTTTAAAACTAAAACAGTGACAAAATTAATTAGTTCCAAAAGCAAGCAAACACCCAAATTCAAACCCCAAATCACACAAAAGCCACATAATTAAAACACTACCCCACTGAACCTGAAACTCCATTGACAGTAAAATTTTCCAATTAAGATTCAACATCAAAACCCAATATCTGACACAGCTACACATAACAATCCAACAACCAAAAACCCTCGATTATCGAGATCAAACTCGGGCAATCACCAAATTATCGAAAAACCTAAATTCACCCGATTAGGCAGCATTTACCATCAAAGATGAATCGAGATTCAAGAATGTGATCAAGCATAGAAGCACACCTTTGACAAGCTTGATGACAAGCTTTTTTGAGGGCTGAGGTAGGGTAGCCTTCTTGCGGGACAAATTGGCGGCAGCGGGAGCCCGCGATTCGTCGGGCCTGACATCATCGTCGATAGCCATGGCAGAAGGTTCGAACACAACTTCGTTTTCCACTTGGGTGTGATTGTGGCGGTGTTGAAGACCGTTCTTACTGGGGTCGAGAGAAGAGCAAGCCACTGCCTGAGACTTGGTCTTCTTCATAGGCGGATGATGAAGAGGGGAAGAGTTGCTGGCTCCGCCGGAGCTGGTGTTCGCGGTTGTGGTGTTGCTGAGAGAAGAGCGTTTGGTAGGGGGAAGAGACATTAAAAAAATCAACAGAGCATTATTATGTAGGAAATTTTCCTTCTTTCTTTGTATCGGAGAAGGGAGTAGGAGACTGCAGAAATGAAAATTTGAGAAGATAGAAGGGGAACACCAATACTCAATGAAGACTATTATTTAACCTTTTTTTTTTTTTCCTCAAGAAAAACGAGATTAGTTTTCTTTTAATCTTTTGATTTCATAATAAGTGTAATAGCCTCTCCAATTACCTAACTCAATTTATCTATATAATAATTCAAATTCAAAATTTTTTATTTTTATTAAATAACTTAAAATCTTTTATTTTTTTGTTAAATAGTCCCCTACTCACTCGTTATCTTATTTGAATTTAAAATTTTTTATTTTTTCTACTAAATCTTCAATATTTAAAAATTATATTATCTCTTAATTATTCTAAAATTTACTTCGGTGAAGTTAGACCCCATATAAACAAACTCTCTTAATACTTATCTCTTTATTTCTAAAATTTAAAACCAAAATATTATTTTTAAAAAAATTTAGTAGAAGGAATGCCACTTAATTATTTAGTAGGTAGTTTGCTCTTGATAATTTTCCAGGGGCTAATCTTTTCTTATATGACCTAAAGAGTACACCACTCATGTCAAAAATTAAGTTTTTAATGTGTTTAAGAAAATTATTTTTTTAGGGTTTGTTTGATAAGAATAATTTTGTTTTGGTTTTTTAAATGTTTTATTAAAAATATATAACTTTAAAGAATTTTTTTAACTTTTTTTATATTCACCTAATAAATACTAATATCTACTAATGACTTGTTGGTTTAAATGAAAGGAATTCGATTTTCTTTAATCAAGATTTTAAGTTTAAGTTTTATAAATAGAGAATCAAGTACTGGGAGAGTTTTTCCTTTATAGAATCCAACACAATTCAATTTTAAATTAATCAAGAAGATTTAATGCAGTTACCGCCGGAAGGTTGATGTAAAAAAAAATAATGATAATAATAAATACTAATATCTTATTATTATATTTAATTAATTGTGTAGCTATTCCATGAATGTTTGTTTTGGGTTAAAATACCAATTGGGTCCCTTAATTTTCAAATTTGTATCAAATTGTCCCTTAACTTAAAAGAGTACCAAAGCTTCCAAAATTATTCTTGAACTTTAATTTTTGTACCAAAATAGTTCTCAAACTTTGAAGATAGTACCAAATTGGTCCTTGAACTTTCAAAACAAATGCCAACTTAGTTCTTGAACTTTAATTGTAAATACTAATTTGATCTTTTAACTTTAATTATATATCAACTTAATGTATAAATAAAAATATATCACAATAAAAAAATAACTATTTGATTTTATATATTATTAGTATTTTTAAAAAGAACTAATTTTGTAGCAAAATAATGAGTTACATGGCATTTTTATTAATAAAATGACATTTTTAGTACTAAAAATTAAAGTTTAAGGATAATTTTAGTTTTTGTTTTAAGTTAAAAGACAATTTTAACATGAATTTGAAAGTTGAGAAACCAAATGAATATTTTAACCTACCTTTGTTTTTTGCAAAAAAAATAGAAATGACAAACACAATTTTTTTTTTTTTTTTTAAGTTGCTCCCTACGAGTGATTTGCACTTTCTAGTTAAATATGGAAGAGCATCCGTTGTGTCCAGTTGAGCAGCATTCAATCCTAGTAGAAACTGAAAATTCAGGTTGTCGAATAAATTTGGACTATCAACCTTCACAGCTTTCAATCTAAAGCACCTAATAATACGCAGCCTCTTGACTTGTAGATTCGGGATCTCTATCCTTCGTCACTCCTTACATCCAGAAATCTAAAGATTCTCAAGCAATGGAAATTTATAAACGAGATCATGAAACAATGTCCCTGTGATTAATCTCCAAAGCAAGACTAAATTTTCCAAATTGCAACAATTTTCCACACAATGTTTTCCTCCAGCTAAAAACATTATTAAATTTATCAAACTTTGTGCCTTAATCCCTATAAACTCAAGGCAGATATCAAATTCAAGACAAACCTGCAAAGTCTTGATTCGTGGGCTGGAGATACTTACTGTTTTGAGTTTGCCACGCTTAAAAAGATAAAGTTCCTCGAGCAGGGGAAGCTTTGAAATAACGGTGTGAAACTCTTCATCTGTCATCATCTCAGGTAGCAAGTGCAAAGATTTCAAGTGATCACAATCATCCATGTTGATGATGGACCAAGGTTTGAACTCAAGAGCTATAATGCTAAAGCTTTAGATACTCTGAAATGAAATCACAAACTCCTCAATATCTTCATCATCTTGTAAGCAAAATTCAACAGTGTGGAGTTGAAGAAGATCAGAAATGTGGACAACATCGAAACTCTCATAGTTTAAGAGAACTAAATCTTCAAGTGAAGTGCAATCAGCATTCTTCAGAATTATCTGACCATTAACATGATAACCTTTTAAATGAAGCTTTTTAAGAGAGCTTAGTGCAAATAAGGGCTGGTCCAAAACACAATAACATAGTTTTGGAACGGTTAATGTCTTGGAAGTAAATATTGGTTGGGGAAACGTACATGAAGATGAGCGCAAGGCTTTGCCAAAAAGAGAGAGAGCTTTAATTCTTTCACCTGATTTTCCAAGGCTAATCTTACCAAACTATGAAGATCAAAAGACATGTCAGGTTCAGCCATGCAAACACAAAATGCCTACAACCACAATTTTCTTAGCTGAATTGAAGCAAAGATTTACAAACAAGATCATTTAGTCTCCAGGGTTAAAGGAAAACTTAAGACAGGATAATCTTTCTTCATGTGGAACAATCTTTTGGCCAAAACGCTAGTTTGAACTACCTCTCTACTTGAAAGATGGGACATGATTTGATGAATAATGCATTCTGGTAATTCTGTGATCTAGTCCACATTAACATTCTTCTTATTCATGAAATGGGCAAATATTTCTGGCCAAACTTTCTAGTTACACCTTGCACATTATTTTTTCTTGAGGTCAACATTCTTTATAATTTAAAATCAATAAAAAAAACTCAAAAATTAATAGTCAAATCCCCTATTTGTACCATAGTTTTGTTGGTAATTTGAAGTTTTTTATGAGTTTCAAATTATGAAGGATGTTGACTAAGAACAGAAATTATAAAAGATGTTGCTCTGTAGAAAAAATTAATTTGCAAGGTGTAAATAAGAGACTTGGACAATTTGCTTCAATAAAATTGACACTAAAATCAGCAAAAAAAAAAAATAAAAGAAAAAAACAATAGTACTAATCAAGAACAATCCTTTAAATTCAATTGTGTAAGAATAAATTCATATCGGTGTCTAGATTGAAGATTTTCTCAAACCAATCTCAAGTATTTGAGGCTTAGGGTCCTATATTTAGGGTTCAGTTTTGGGAAATCTTTTTGAGGAAAGGAAATATCACAAAGAAAAGCACTCAGACACTTCTCTTTGAACGCTTCTAGAGTGACAAAATCTTATAGTGGATTGTGCGTGATTTTCCAAAGTACCGAGCTTTTTTGTTCTTAATGATGAAGAAGATCAAAATGCGAAGGGTGTTGGTGTTCTATTCAAGCCTAGATGCCTTCTAATGAAACTTTTTTTTTTTTTGGGGGGGTGGGGGGAGATTTAAAATACTAAATTTGATCTCTCAACTTTCAGATTTATATTAAAATTGTCCTTCAACTTTAAAAAAACCAAAATTATCCCTAAATTTTAATTTTCATTATCAAAATAGTCTTTTAACTTTAAAGACAAGTACCAACTTAATTAGTTTTTTAACTTTGAAAACAAGTACTAATTTAGTTCTTAAATTTTGATTATAAATACTAGTTTAATCTTTTAACTTCAGTTACATGTTAATATAATGTGTAATAAAAATATATCACGATAATAAAATATAATTATTTGATTTTACACATCATTAATATTTAAAAAGAAAACTAATTTTGTGACAAAATAACTAGTTATGTGGTACTTCTATTTTTGGTATTAAAAGTTAAAATTCAGTAATAATTTTGATATTTTTTAAAGTTGAAGGATAATTTCAATATAATCTAAGAGTTAAGGGACAAAACTAATATTTTAATTTTTTTTAATAAAAATGAAATACCGTTGGGTGTTGTCGTGTTAAAATTGACTATAAAACATCTTTTTGGTACCCACCTTTGAATTAGTACTTCTAAATAATCCAACATTATTAACCTACTACTGGCTGCTTCTATGGATGTCAAATTCACATTAACAATCATAATTTGATTGTTATTTCCTAGTATTTCTTATTAACATGATCTAATTCTTATTGACTTTTTTAATTTAGAATGAGATTCCTAATATAATATCTACTTACTCGTTTGATGCCAGCTATTGTAACCAGGGAAATGTACGTACATTATTTCATTATATTATACTAGTAGGGTGGTTATTGCCTGATTTATTTCATGCTAGCAGTCTCCCCTTTTCTGTCAAATGGATTTTAATTGCCTCAGGGCAGTTATGATTCTTCTCGTTAGCCCTTCTGACATTTATCTTTTTCAGTGCGGAATAAAAGATACAGGGTATTTCAGGTCCTGTGTGGTGCAAAAACAAGGAAATACATTGATAAATAAATGTCAAACACTGTTTTATTGATTAGGTTTTAGGATTAATGTCTTAAAATTAGTACATAAAAAAATTAATTTCTTTTAATACATTGGACTGATATAAAGGATACATTTGTAAGATTACTCATAAAAAGATTAATTTTAAGATGCATGAAAGTTAATTCAAGAAAATCTGAGTGTAAACACTTAAAAAAGAAATATTAATAACAAGGTTTCTACCATGCCAAACCCACATCTTCAACATTTTCCTTGACCAGAAGATCGTGCTTCCATTACCTGGGAGTGTACCTGCTTGAACAAAGATAGGCTTCTTTATATACCCTGTTGCTTGTTTTGAAAATTCCCATTTATACTACGGTTTCATATCATATGAGATAATTGAACCACTTTGATACAACATTCTCATTAGTTGATTCTCAATTAATCGTGCAAAAGATTACCTTATAAGTGAAGGTATCAATCATATCAGTGGTGGAACTCCGAAAACAATAATGAAGATTAACCATATAATTAAATATCAACAAGACCATAATGACTTTTTCATACAAGAAGACCATAAATGTAATTAAAAAAAAAAGGAAAAAGAAAATCCACATCCACTCCAGATTTCTTAGTTTTCAGTTGGACAGTGAATTGTAGGTATAATACTACTCTGGAAATTCATAAGCAGAATTAAGGATTATATCGATAAGAGATTCGTCTTCCACTCGAACAAAATAGTACAATATGTCATCCAACCGACAGGACCAATGTGTACTGGGAGAATCCTCATGATCACACTCAAACCTCAAACCACTGGCACTGGTAAGTACTGAAACTTCCACAGCCTCACGTCCCGTACAGCATAACTCAAATAAATTTGGACTATCAACCTCCACAGCTTTTAGTCTAAAACATCTAACAATATGCAGTCTCTTGAGTTGAAGATTTGGAATCTCAATCCTTTGTAACTCCTGACACCCAATAACCCAGAGATTCACAAGCAATGGAAATTGAGATACAAGATCATGAAATAATGTATCTGTGATTAATCTCCAAAACAAGACCAAGGTTTCCAAATTCTGACAATCTTCAATCTTGATCACACAGTGCTTATCTTTGGCTAAAAAGATGAAGTTTCTAAGATTTGGTGCATCAATTCCTATAAACTCAAGCTGGCTATAACATTCGGGTTCAGGACAAATCTCTAGAGTCTTGATTCGTGGGCAAGATATATTTATTGATTTGAGTTCATCACAATGAAAAAGATATAGTTCCTCAAGCAAGGGAAGCTTTGAAAGAAGAGAATGAAACTCTGAGTCTGTAATCGTCTTAGATTGCAAGTGTAAAGATTTCAAGTGATTACAACCATCCATGTTGACAATAGACCAAGGTTCGAATGCACAAGATCTAATGGTAAAACTTTGAAGACTTTGACATGAAATCACAAACTCATTAGTACCATCAGTACCATCAAAGGAAACCTCAAGACTGTGGAGTTGAGAAAGATCAGAAACATAGACACAACCAAAACCCTTACAATTTAAGAGACCTAAATCTTCAAGCAGAGGGCAGTCACCATTCTCCAAAATTATTTGACCATCTACATGACAACCTTCTAAATAAAACTTTCTTAGGGAGCTGAATGCAGATAAGGGCTGGTCCAAAAAACATGACGATAGCTTTAGAGTGGTTAATGTTTTAGATGAAAATATTGGCTGGGGCAAAGTATATAACCATAATGAAATGGCTCGACCATTAAGAGTCAACCTTAATTCTTTCACCTGATTTTCTAAGGCTAATCCTATCAAACTATCAAGATCGGAAGAGAGGTTAAGGTCTGTCATGTGAACACAAAATGTCTGCAATAATAACTTTTCCTGCCTGAAGTGATGCAGAGATTTATAAACAAGATCCTTAGTTTTCTTGGTTAAAGGAAACTCTAAGACAGGATAATTTTTCCTCATGTGGAACCATCTTTTGGACAAAACACTAGTTCGAACTACCTCTTTTGTTGACATGTGGGACATGATGTGATGAATGATAGATTCTGGTAATGTTGTGAAACGGTCCACACCCATATTCTCCCGCTTCATGATAAATCTGTTTCAACAAACAAAATTATTGGTAAACCTCCACACATCAGATAACAAAATCATCATCCATAAAATCACAGTTATACAAGACAATATTGAGAATTAATGAGAGATTTAATATTGCCTGCAAAATGAAAGGCTTCCAGACTAGTTTTTTCAATCTTGACCATAGGTTTGATTAAGATTAGGTGGAAAGAATATGATGTTACATTATATAAGGATTTAGTAGGGATTGATTTTCTTTCCTGATGGACAAAAAGGATCTATTTTATGAAAATAGTTTTTTAAAAAGTATTTTTCAGTTCAGACCATGAATTCACTAAAATACTTTTAATGAAATCTCCTTTTTATGTTCCATTCTAGTAATTGCAGGATCCAGACAGTACTTTTCGAAAAACATCAATCTCAAAGAAAGATTGTTCATAGTAGTTATTAACTAATTTAGGAAACCCACTCAAGCTAATGGCACTATGAATGAACAGCACAAGCATAGACTCCAATACTGATTTTTTTTTATGATAAGCACCGAGCAAATTAAAAAGATCTAAGCATTCACTGCAAATCAATCAGAGCCACAAGACCTAAATTTATTTCCTTTTTCAGTACCTAAAACTATACATTAATCTAGAAAAACAGAACATGTTAGTATGTTAGGAATCTATGCAAAAAAGGCATATATTCATACCGAGATCCTGATTGGAGCACTTGTCGACGATCTTGAAGAAAAATCTAGCTTTCTGAAGCTCCAAATTACAAACCAATTTCAAGTATTTGAGGCTTGGGGCCTAGATCCAGGGTTTGATTTTGAGAAATCTTTTTGGGGAAAAGGACAAACAACGCAGAGAAAACCACTCGAATACTTCTCTTCCAAGGCTTCGAGACTCAAGACTCTAGAGAGAGAGAGAGAGAGAGGCAAACTACATTTTTTTTTTTTTCTCTTTCTTTGACTCTTCAGAACTTGTTCTAATGAAGAAGATCAAGACACTATGCTCTGATCAATATTAGGCTGACTTGGTGGCTGATTGGTTACAACCAATTTATTAATAAGGTCGCAACGACTTTTTGTTCTAAGTGGAGAGTAGTTGATTTTTCTTTAAGGAAAATCTTGGGTTTTAATAATGTGGATGGAAAAACTGATATTGAGAAAAAAAAAATTTTATTGGGTTTAATGTTATTGAATTTTAGATTAATTAAAAGTTTTGAATTTTGAGAGGCTAGTAAAAGAAATTTTATTAAAAAAGTTTTAATAAGAATTTAGTTAGAAAAATATACAAGAGAAGTAAAGTTGTCATGTATTATATGAAAAGTTAATATAAAATGTTGTTAAAATTTTATTAAATCGTTATTTTTTATATTTAATAAAGAAATAATACAGAGAATGTTAGGAAAAAAAAGTTATTAAATAAATTTTACATAAAAATTAATTTTTTTTAAAGTATAAGAATAGAAATTTATAAATTAAAAATTGTATTAACTAAAATAAAAATTAAAAATATTGTTTTTATTTTTTTAATTATAATATTAATATATAAAAATATATAAATAACCCTTAAAAATTTTAAGGAAAAATTTCCCAACCGAGCAGCCACTTTAGGGGAGGGGGCAATTTTAATGTTTGGGTAAAACATAGGATAGGCCCTTAAATTTGCCCCATTTTGGCACCTAGGCACTTGGACTAAAAAGCAAGCACAGAAGCCCTTGAACCACTTGTGTGCATGTTTGGGGCAACTAGTAGAAGTCCTTTTAGAGTTCAAAAACTCCAGTTGCACCAAACACTACAACTTATAAAAAATGTTATAACTTCTTACAAATTAGTTTTTTGTTCATTTTATTGCAAATCTCAGAAGTATCGAATTGATGCTTCTTCATAAACTTCTCATTTGAATTTTAATAAAATTAACACACTATTCTTATTTTATTCTTATTTTTCTTTCTATTTACAGAAATAGCACTTCTATAACAGTTTCTTTCTAACAAAATTTCTATTAAAAGCTTCAGTTATATCAAACGGACACTTATACAAATCAGCCCTCTTGCCTCTTGTTAGCCGTCTCTGTTAAGCTTACCTGAACTCTGTTAGTTGTCGTTTAAGATAACTGAAAAGAAATTGGATAGTTTCAGCTTGCTACATTAATTTTTAAAATTTTAGAGAGACTTAGTCCCATAACCTTTTTATATTATAAAAAAATAGTTAAAATAACAATTTGGTTCCTTAATTTTTAAATTTGTACTAAAATTATTCCCTTAACTTTAAAAAATATCAAATTTATTCTTAAATTAATTTTTAATACTAAAATAATCCTCAAAATTTAAAGATAATACCAATTTAATCCTTAAATTTTGAAAGCAAATACCAATTTATTCTTTAAATTTTCATTATAAATATCAATTTTGTCTTTCAATTTTAATTATATATTAATCTGCTTTGTAAATAAAAATATGTTATGATAGCAAAATATAATTATTTGATTTCATATGTCATTAATATTTAAAAAAAACAAATTTTATAATAACATAATAAGTTATGTGACACTTTTGTTAATTGGAGCACTTTTTCAGTATTAAAAATTAAAATTTAAGGAAAATTTTGATATTTTTTAAGTTGAGGGACAATTTCAATACAAATCTGAAAGTTGAGGGATAAAATTAGTATTTTAACATATAATACACCTCTGGAAATTCCTCAGCAACATCAGCAATTGTCTCGAAAGAGATTCATCTTTTATTTGAACAAAATATTTC